GAAATACAACTTTCAAGCTGGCCCAAATTCAAGTCTCTGCTACAAAGGCCTTGAAATTCGATAGATCATCAGGTTCGAAACCGCATAATATTAACTTTCACGTCTTTTTCCATTATGCACCTGGAATAACCTGCTTTTTATCTTCATAAACTGTCTAGTAATACACGAATAAGGCATCGATAGAAAGCTTATGGATTGTAGATTCCAAAAATAGAATTTTCAGACCGTGCCAAATTCTAGTTTCTACTGCAGAGGCCTTGAAATTCAATAGAACGCAAGGTTCAAAACAGCATATTATTAAATTTCACGTCTTTTTCATTATGCACCTGGAATAACCTGGTTTGTATCTTCATGGACTGTCTTTTGATGCAGGAGTAAAACATCGACAGAAAGCATATGGAAGGTAGATTCTAAAAATACGATTATCAGGGCGGCGTAAATTCGCGTTTCCGCTTCGAGGACCTTGAAATTCAATAGAACATCAGGTTCGAAAGAGCCAAACCCTAACCCACACTTATAAAATTTTAACTTTCACGTCTTTTTCGATTACACAGCTGGAAAAAACTGCTTTTTATCCCCACTTCCGGCCTAGTGATGCACGAATGAGGCATCGGCAGAAAGCTTATGGATCGTAGATTCCAAAAATAGAATTTTCAGATCGTGCCAAATTCTAGTTTCTACTGCAGAGGCCTTGAAATTCAATAGAACATCAGGTTCGAAAGAGCCAAACCCTAACCCACACTTATAAAATTTTAACTTTCACGTCTTTTTCGATTACACAGCTGGAAAAAACTGCTTTTTATCCCCACTTCCGGCCTAGTGATGCACGAATGAGGCATCGGCAGAAAGCTTATGGATCGTAGATTCCAAAAATAGAATTTTCAGATCGTGCCAAATTCTAGTTTCTACTGCAGAGGCCTTGAAATTCAATAGAACATCAGGTTCGAAAGAGCCAAACCCTAACCCACACTTATAAAATTTTAACTTTCACGTCTTTTTCGATTACACAGCTGGAAAAAACTGCTTTTTATCCCCACTTCCGGCCTAGTGATGCACGAATGAGGCATCGGCAGAAAGCTTATGGATCGTAGATTCCAAAAATAGAATTTTCAGATCGTGCCAAATTCTAGTTTCTACTGCAGAGGCCTTGAAATTCAATAGAACATCAGGTTCGAAAGAGCCAAACCCTAACCCACACTTATAAAATTTTAACTTTCACGTCTTTTTCGATTACACAGCTGGAAAAAACTGCTTTTTATCCCCACTTCCGGCCTAGTGATGCACGAATGAGGCATCGGCAGAAAGCTTATGGATCGTAGATTCCAAAAATAGAATTTTCAGATCGTGCCAAATTCTAGTTTCTACTGCAGAGGCCTTGAAATTCAATAGAACATCAGGTTCGAAAGAGCCAAACCCTAACCCACACTTATAAAATTTTAACTTTCACGTCTTTTTCGATTACACAGCTGGAAAAAACTGCTTTTTATCCCCACTTCCGGCCTAGTGATGCACGAATGAGGCATCGGCAGAAAGCTTATGGATCGTAGATTCCAAAAATAGAATTTTCAGATCGTGCCAAATTCTAGTTTCTACTGCAGAGGCCTTGAAATTCAATAGAACATCAGGTTCGAAAGAGCCAAACCCTAACCCACACTTATAAAATTTTAACTTTCACGTCTTTTTCGATTACACAGCTGGAAAAAACTGCTTTTTATCCCCACTTCCGGCCTAGTGATGCACGAATGAGGCATCGGCAGAAAGCTTATGGATCGTAGATTCCAGAAATACAACTTTTAGGCTGGCCCAAATTCAACTCTCTGCTACAAGGGCCTTGAAATTCGATAGAACATGAGGTTCGAAACCGCATAATATTAACTTTAACGGCTTTTTCGATTATGCACCTGGAATAACCTGCTTTTTATCTTCATGAACTGTCTAGTGATTCACGAATAAGGCAGCAATAGAAAGCTTATGCACCGTGGATTCCCAAAATGCTATTTTTAGACCGTGGCAAATTCTAGTTTCTGCTGCAGAGGCCTTGAAATTCAATAGAACGCAAGGTTCAAAACAGCATAATATTAACTTTCACATTTTTTACGATTATCGACCGGGAATAACTTGGTTTGTATCTTCATGGACTGTCTTTCGATGCACGAGTAGGACATCGACAGAAATTCTATGGACCGTAGATTCTAAAAATACAATTTTCAGACCGTCGTAAGTTCACGTTTCCGCTACGTGTCCTTGAAATTCAATAGAACGTCAGGTTCGAAACAGCCAAACCCTAACCCTCACTTATATATTTTTAACTTCCAAGTCTTTTTCGATTACACAGCAGGAAAAACTGCTTTTTATCTCCACGTCCGGCCTAGTGATGCACGAATGAGGCATCGGCAGAAAGCTTGTGGATCGTAGATTCCAGAAATACAACTTTCAAGCTGGCCCAAATTTAAGTCTCTGCTACAAGGGCCTTAAAATTCGATAGATCATCAGGTTCGAAACCGCATAATATTAACTTTCACGGCTTTTTCGATTATGCACCTGGAATAACCTGCTTTTTATCTTCATAATCTGTCTAGTGATACACGGATAAAGCATCGATAGAAAGCATATGGACCGTAGTTTCCAAAAATAGAATTTTTAGACCGTGACAAATTCCAGTTTCTGCTGGAGAAGCCTTGAAATTAAATAGAGCGCAAGGTTCAAAACAGCATAATATTAACTTTCACGTCTTTTTCCATTATGCACCTGGAATAACCTGCTTTTTATCTTCATTAACTGTCTAGTGATACACGAATAAGGCATCGATAGAAAGCTTATGGATCGTAGATTCCAAAAATAGAATTTTCAGACCGTGCCAAATTCTAGTTTCTACTGCAGAGGCCTTGAAATTCAATAGAACGCAAGGTTCAAAACAGCATATTATTAACTTTCACGTGTTTTTCCATTATGCACCTGGAATAACCTGGTTTGTATCTTCATGGACTGTCTTTTGATGCAGGAGTAAAACATCGACAGAAAGCTTATGGACCGTAGATTCTAAAAATACGATTATCAGGGCGGCGTAAATTCACGTTTCCGCTACGGGTCCTTGAAATTCAATAGAACATCAGGTTCGAAACAGCCAAACCCTAACCCTCACTTATATATTTTTAACTTTCAAGTCTTTTTCGATTACACAGCAGGAAAAAACTGCTTTTTATCTCCACGTCCGGCCTAGTGATGCACGAATGAGGCATCGACAGAAAGCTTATGGATCGTAGATTCCAGAAATACAACTTTTAGGCTGGCCCTAATTCAAGTTTCTGCTAGAAGGGCCTTGAAATTCGATAGAACATCAGGTTCGAAACCGCATAATATTAACTTTCACATATTTTTCGATTATGCACCTGGAATAACCTGCTTTTTATCTTCATGGACTGTCTGAGGCATCGATAGAAAGCTTATGGACCGTAGATTCCAAAAATATAATTTTCAGACCGTGTTAAATTCAAGTTTCTGCTGCAGGGGCCTTGATGTTCAATAGAACACAAGGTTCGAAACAGCATAATATATTAACTTTCAAGTCTTTTTCCTTTATGCACCTGGAATAACCTGGTTTGTATCTTCATGGACTGTCTAGTGATACGCGAATAAGGCATCTAATCTTATCGACCGTAGATTGCAATATACAATTGTCAGACTGTGGTAAATTCAACTTTCTGCTACAGGGGCCTTGAAATTCAATAGAAAACAAGTTTCGAAACAGCATAATATTAACTTTCACGTCTTATTCGATTATGGACCTGGAATAACGTGCTTTTTATCTTCATGGACTGTCTAGTGATACACGAAGGCATCGATAGAAAGCCTATCCACCTTAGTTTCCAAAAATACAATTGCCTGAAATTAAAATGCTTTTGACACAACCAGGAACGATCCTGGCTTCAAACACTTGCAATACTTCGTTCTTACAACTTGAGCATCTTGTCTACACTTGGTTTAACTCCGTTTAGTTGTTTTTTTTTAAAAGGGAAAATTGCCAAATTTTGCTCATTTTTATCATTTTTTTTATTTCTTAAAAATGGGCCAAAAACTTAAGGTTTACAGCGTTTATTTATTTCCTAAAAATCGGCGAAAAAGTAAAGGCTAACCCCTTGAATTTTCGTAGGCCGTAAATGTTGAAAATAGGCCAGAAACAAAGGCTTTGTCTTTGTTTACATTTCGGTATTCAAGGCTGGTGGTTACCCCCCAACTTCTTTAGAATTAACATATTCGGAAAATCATGAGGTTGGCCATTCGGAAAATTACGGCAATAATAGAATAACAGGATCTTAGTTGTTAAATAGAGAAAATATAATATAATTGTATTGTCTTGCAGTATAAACTGATTTACGAAATGATGGCATTTACATGGATAACATTTAATATATCGTAAATCGGTATGTGGTTTTCGGTTTATTACTTCTCAGGGCCGTATCAACCGGGCGGGGGGGGGGGGG